AATGAGCCAAAGATTGGAAGATGCGCGGAAATGCCAACAGTCTGCGGGTCGCGTGAGTGATGTAGCAAATTGGATAGGCTTAACTTATCCAACTTAAGCTTAACTTTGAAACGCTAAATCTTCATGCGTAAAAGATCGTGGAGTCATGAACTATAAGGATCTTAAGCCAAACAATTTATGTATATATGCTGGAAATAAGGCAAATGGGAAATCAGGTCTCAAACACATAAAAATCACAATAGCGTGATATATCAAATGAACAAATCCACAAGGGCCTTGAAGAGTGTTCGAACCTACGCACGGGATGTTCCCATATGCGTCTTAGTCAACTGTACCACGACATGATCAAAAGTATCGCAACCTGGAGTGATATTGCCCTCACAAGAATCCCGAAGCTTCTTCGAAGCCTAACCGAGGCTTCACACAATTTCCCCCATGCACTTGGGCTCTGTCAACCAGATGTTCTACCTCAACTTCTTCAATACACGCAGTATACATCCAATACATCATCCAGTTCTTCAATACATCATCCAGTTCTTCAATACATCATTATAAGGCCCTTGTGGATTTGTTCATTAGGTCTCATATCTAAAAGCGTTAGTAATGAAACATCAATGTTATTCTTCAGTTTAATTTTTTCCTTTGTAAAACCCATCTAGATTATTGAGAGAAGAATTACAACAATGATCCAAGGAATTACACACACATGCATTATGAAGAGAAATTAACTATTTGTTAGAAAGGTGATGAGTATAAGGGGCGATATAACTGACGTATACACATAGATGAAAAGTATACCAAAGCGGATATTAATAGTGCTAAATATATTAAAGCAAAATAGAATAGGAAACAATGAATACAAATTGATTAAGCTTAGATTTAGGAAAGACCTGGGTAAATACTGGTTTAGGAATAGGGTGGTAAATTTAAGGTACAAATTGCTAGGCAATATAATAAGCAAAAGACCTATGAATGTGTTTGGGTAAGAATATATACATGTAACCTCCCATGTTGCATATATATTAACCTAAGAATATATGCAAATGAATAAATCCGAGTCCAAGAGAGAGTCACTGTAACTTAAGATGTTCCAGAATCCTTGTACCACATAAAGGTTTAAGAAACACTTGATCACTTTCCGGTTTATTTCAGCGTTTCATCAACAATAACATCTTCAGAAAAACACACTCACATATTAAGACTCAATCTTTAAATATGAAAATATAAGAACTGAAGACACTTCGGTCCATCTTGGACCATCATAAAGTCGGGAAGCGGAAACAGTGGTGGAGCCCGCCGTACACACGACAAAACTACGACGTTGCAATAACGTTCAAGCAAGTTTTAACACCTTCGAATAAGTTGTCACAACGTTCAAGCAAGTTTTAACACCTCAGAACAAGTTGCAACAACGTTCTAATACATCATAAAAACGTTATACCAAGTTGTAGCAACTTTATTACAAGTTGTAACAAGTGGAAAATAGCTACAGTTACGGTTTGTGTTTGCAGGAAGAAAGTCATTTTTATAAGGCAAAGTAAAAGGAGTAATAAAACTTATCTTTATCTCAAGGAGTGAGATAAAGAGGCGAGAACTTTAAAGAATAGGAGTAGGGTTTGAAATATAGGAATTGGGTAAATTATAGGAATAGGTTAACGGTATGGGAATGGGAGTAAGGAAGTATGGAACAAGACAAATATCATAAAAAAGGTACAAATATAAGAAAGTGTAGAAATAAGGAAAAATTTAGCCATAGAAGACCAAATAACAAAGATAATGAGGTGAAATAGAGACAAAGATAACATAAGTAAGTCAAATCACATTTGTTAAGGTTAGCGCATTTAAGTATATACTGTGAAAGGGAAGAGCCAACAGCAACCAAGACTTCAAAATCTCCAAACGCCCTTCAAAAAATAAATCCCAAGCACTCAACAGAAAAGTGGCAATCGCGCACAAAAAGAAGTAGCAAATGCCTAATGTTTTTTGTGCGTTTTGAATTTTCTGTCTTTTTTGGGGCGTTTTGATTTTTTGTTGTTGAGCGTTTGGCACTTTTTTGTTAGGAGGGTGAGAGAATTATCAGGGGAAAGTGCCAAGCCATTACGACTCTATAGAATTTAGTGACTCGGAATTATATTTTATTATTTCAGGATTAAAGCAAAGTAAAGCAACATCAGTGTGGAGAAAATTTAAAACAGTTTCCCTTATTTTAGGAGCATAATTATCTCTGTTCAAACTTCATTGTGCATTTATTTGTCTGACATGTTGTTAAAGAACATGTCATTTCACTAAACCACAACTTGGCATCTTTAGTGGCAGAGTAAAAGGTAATGCAAATGAGCAGTGGCTGCAACATTAATTTCTTGCAGAATGGAAAGAAGTGAGGATACACAATAGGATAGGTTGTTACCCTGTTTAGGGGTTTGGGTAACTTTGTTCTGCATTTTCATTGGTTTGCTGTTGCAATAAGTTTAGTGTAAACTGGTGGGTCTCGTACATCGAATGATATACCTAAATATGAACTGGCTTTTGATAACTGGGTGAGAATGCTTATATTAGGCTTTTTTGGCTTTGTGTATCCTATTGTCCACCTTCTATTTTAGTAAATCGTTTGGGTGTTTTTGGTCAAAATATCTCTAGTGGTAGTCTGTTGTGTGTTTAAATTATTCTAACTCCTATGGAGCCTTTTTGTTTAAATACGATCGGGCAACTTTAACGATATGGTGATGTCTTGCCTGTATATTAAAATCGTTGGCGATAGATAACACTAGTTTATATTGTCAGCTCCTCAGTGATGGTGCTGGGTACGATTCCCGAGGCAGGACATACATATGGACACGTATCCTTTCACTCGATATCTGTTGACAGTAAACAGGTATACAGGAGTAAACAAAGTGCACCCTGGAGAATCTTAATAGTTGGCCAATGGATGTGGGATCTCTGCAAGCATATGTACGGGCTTACTGTCCCCAGCAACAGGAAACTATCAGGTCTTGCAAGAGTTGCTCTTGAGCAAGTTGGTTGTCTTTATAGTCTTGCAGTATGTGATGAGCTGTATCTTGTATTAAGTATCGGTTGGGGGTCTCATTATACTTTTCATAAGTCTTTCCTCCGTCGTGTGAGCCGCTGAAAAGTTCCTGTAGTGTTACAGGAGGGACAAGTACTATAGTGTTGACCTTCTTATCAGAGGTAAAAAATGGCCTTCACCCAAATATTGGTGATCTATTCCACACAAATGCTAGATCTTCAGCTATTGAAAAGGACCTGCCTCACGCTTCCCAGGTCCTCGCCAAGCAGCTTGCAACTGGAGGTGTGTGAAAGAGTATCGTTGACGCGGACATCAACACTACTTCGCTCTTAAAACCAAAATATTCACACGTGGCACTCCACCGGAGCTCAAGGATCTTAGTACAAGACTAGCAATTGCTAAGAGGTACTCACAGGATGAGGAGATTATGCAGCTCATGTAGATCGCCGGTTTTCAAGGCTGTCAGCTTGTTGTGGGCCATGTTCCTGTGGAGAGACCAAATCCTTCGTCAGTGAGAGTGCGTCACAATATCGACAGGGACTATGTAATAGCATTAGTAAGACAGAGTGAAATATCCTCTGTACAACACATATTATGACCTGTTTTAAAATAATTGTCCCTACCTCTTAGTCGTAATTTATCCCCAAATTTCTAACTTTCCTTTATGCTCCCCATGCTCTCGACATTCCTTCCATCTTTCCAATTATTTCCATCTTTCTCATTCTCCAAATATTCACTGTTCTCTCCAGTTTTCCCCCTTTGTCTCAATCTTTCCTTTACTTTTCTCATTCTCTCCGCCATTCCCATCGCTCCACATTCTCCATTCTCCCCACTTAGTCTTCCTCATTTTCTCAACATCTTCACCATTATTTCCATCTTTCATTCTTTCTATCTCATTCTTTCAACATTACCTTCATCTCGCCTACCCTCCCCACCCAGTCCAACCACTTGGGCTGGACGGTAGAGCGACGGTCTAGCTTCATGCAGGTCGAAGTTCAATCCCCGACCGTCCAAGTGGTTGGGTACCATTCCTTTCGCCCCGTCCCATCCCAAATCCTTATCCTGATCCCTTCCCAGTGCAACATAGTCGTCATGGCTTGACACTTTACCTCCTGATAGTTCCCTTCCCTTCCCTCCCCACCTTCCTCATACTGCTGTAACCGAGAACTCAAAGGAAGAACGACACTGCATATGCTCCTGCAGTTAACTAGTCCAGGGACAAGTGAATTGCACATGCAGTTGGTCCACACGCTCGCTGAAGCACGCTGCATCACAAGCAAATCTGAATCATGTCATAGTGCGCTCCGCAGTCATCAGAACACTTGCCATTACTACGCCTGGAAGCCTCTGACATAGCGTGCTGACGTTAGCATATTGGCTAAACTTTACACTTTTGGTTCAACAGCTCACTTATAATGTTTTTATGAGTGACTTTATCACAGGTACGAGCTTCTCTTTCTCCTTATCAGAGCTCACAGTCATTTCTGACCTGGCTACGGTGTTATTCAGCGCTCTCTAATGCCAAACTCCTTCGACGGGCCTCGTTAATGATGTTCTGTTACCAGCTTCCGTCCACAGATAACTTGTATGTTCACTGTAAACTGTTGATTGTTCTCTGTGGCTGCTCTGTGGGGTCTGAACTCTCCAGGTGTTAAAAGTATTTGTTGACGTCTTAACTCGCTTCTGTAAGCAATGTACTCGCTTCCGTAAGACATGTTCTCGCTTCTGTAAGACATGTACTCGCTTCAGTAAGACATGTACTCGCTTCTGTAAGCCACCGAAGCGGTGGCACGGGCATGAATAGCCCGTAAACCACCACAATAACTTTCTGACCAATCAGCAGAAAAACTATTGTTCTGAAAATAATCGAGAACTAAAGTAAACTCAGTTTAAATACACCGAGAAGTTGGGTATACAGCTTTCTGTGTACAATATTTCTTACCCCGTGAAGGTCACATTGTTAATGAACTGGGGATTCGAGTCTGAGTCGAAGTTTCATTGTGTTTAAACATGTGGTTTGCATGTAATTCCATGGAGGCTGTTTACTACCTCATCTGACATCAAGAAAGGTGTTTAGCATCCAATGAAGCTTTATTTCTTGAATGTTTTGAGCGAACAAATCCACAAGGGTCGTAACGAGGATTCGAACCTACGTCCGAGAGCATCCCAGACGCTGCCTTAATCGACTGAGCTACGACATGGTATAAGAATTGCAACCAGAAATTCAACTGAATTTACTTGGATCCTGCAGCCTCTCCGAGACACAAACCAGGATTTTACACAATTCCCCCCATGCACTCGAGCTATGTCAATAGACCTTGAGCAGCCGTCGACAAGAACAATCACATGATTAATATATATTTTGTTCCTCAGCGGACGCCAAGAACCAAATCGTCCATTTTCAACGGGGAATTTACTTATTATAAACAAACTATTTATTAAATATTTTATCTTAAGTGTATGGAAGAAACTGATCTAAAGTTACAGTTTCAATCTGTGTTGACGAAACAAAAGCAAGAGAAACAAGAAACAATGAGGATTACCTATTACACAAAATTGTACACAAATTGGCTATTGAAAACCTGTCATACATAATATCTTAGGATGATGCTACAGGGGCATATCCCGCCAAACACACACCGAAACTACGACGTTGGTACAACGTTTGAACAAGTTTTAACACCTCCTAACCAGTCATAACAACCAATATAGCAAGTTGTAACAACGTTCTAATACGTCATAAACACGTTAAGCCAAGATGTAACAACTGTATTACAAGTTATAACAAGCGGAAAATAGAGACAGTTTCGGTTTGTGTTTCCAGAGATGTAGTTACATTAAAATAAACTCAAACACGTACACATTCTGCAGACAGCTCATGGAGGACAGGGCACGAGGAAAGGTTGTGAAGAAGTTCATCTCCAGAGAGATCTCCTTGAGAGAAGCAGGAAGAGATCCAGCAGTCAGTTCAGACAGTTTGTTGTTGTCCAGCATCCTGTAAGACATCATTAAACATACATAGGTAAAACATGGTACAAATATTTGACAAAAATACACGACAAAGATTAGAAATCGAAAATCTTCTGAGCTCCTCAGAGGCGAGACGTGTTTCTAGACTGCAAGAATGTCTATTTCCAGCGGCTGTGTGAGGCAATACAGAGGGAAAATATACACAGCCTTCGTGTTCTTGATCATCATCAGGCGACGAACTCGACAGCATGTCAAAATTAACATTGTAAATTTATATGAATTTATATGTAAATGAATAGATGGAATGAGCGCTGGTAAAGATGGATAGATAGACAAATGGATGGAAAGATTGATGGGTGAATATATATGAACAGATAGATGTATGGATAATTGGATGGATTGACAGATTAATAGACCGACAGATGGGTAGATAAATATTAGATGAATAGATAGATGATAGATGCATAGATGGATGGATAGTTGGCCAGATAGATGGCGGGATGGATAGATGCACAGATGGGAGACTGACAGACAGACCCGAGCAACGCCAGGGGCCAGATTCACGAAGCAGTTACGCAAGCACTTACGAACGTGTACATCTTTCCTCAATCTTTGACGGCTTTGTTTACATTTATTAAACAGTTTACAGGCATGAAAACTTGCCAATCAACTGTTGTTATTTTTATAAACAGCCTCCTGGTGCTTTGGAGCTCATTAACTATTTAATAATTGAAAACAAAGCCGTCAAAGATTGAGGAAAGATGTACAGGTTCGTAAGTGCTTGCGTAACTGCTTCGTGAATCTGGCCACCTGGCGTTGCCTGGGTCTCATGCAAATAGAGAGACGAACAATGTGTCATACAAGACCAATCAACTTACAGGACTTGTATAGGAGCGGCATGGAAAGCCTTCACGCTCACCGTCTTGATCTTGTTACCAGAGAGGATACTGAAAAGGAACAAAAAAATAATAAGCAGGCGATGAGTCACAATAACGTGGCTAAAGTAAGTTGACCAGACCACACACTAGAAGGTGAAGGGACGACGACGTTTCGGTCCGTCCTGGACCGAAACGTCGATTGTGAAAAAAATCTGTATATATATATATATATATATATATATATATATATATATATATATATGCGAACAAGCCTGAATGGTCCCCAGGACATATGCAACTGAAAACTCACACCCAGAAGTGACTCGAACCCATACTCCCAGAAGCAACGCATCTGGTATGTACAAGACGCCTTAATCCACTTGACCATCACGACCGGACTTTGTGTTCCTCACGTGTTGCCCCAAAAAATGAGGTGATTTGGTAAAATGCTATGCCCAAGATAACTATCCGAGTGCCGGCGGTGGGGTGGTTCAAATAGCCTCGGCTATCACCTCATTATGTCCGGTCGTGATGGTCAAGTGGATTAAGGCGTCTTGTACATACCAGATGCGTTGCTTCTGGGAGTATGGGTTCGAGTCACTTCTGGGGTGTGAGTTTTCAGTTAGTGATATATATATATATATATATATATATATATATATATATATATATATATATATATGTCGTACCTAGTAGCCAGAACGCACTTTTCAGCCTACTATGCATGGCCCGATTTGCCTAATAAGCCAAGTTTTCATGAAATAATGTTTTGTTGACTACCTAACCTACCTAACCTAACCTAACCTAACTTTTTCGGCTACCTAACCTAACTTAACCTATAAAGATAGGTTAGGTTAGGTTAGGTAGGGTTGGTTAGGTTCGGTCATATATCTACGCTAATTTTAACTCTAATAAAAAAAATTGACCTCATACATAATGAAATGGGTAGCTTTATCATTTCATAAGAAAAAATTATAGAAAATATATTAATTCAGGAAAACTTGGCTTATTATGCAAATCGGGCCTTGCGTAGTAGGCTGAGAAGTGCGTTCTGGCTACTAGGTACGACATATATATATATATGACAATGTCAGACCACGGAGGAAAAATGAAACAGGAAATTTCCTTAAGTACTTTCGTATATTAAATACATCTTCAGAAGGTGGTATGACCTTCTGAAGATGTATTTAATATACGAAAGTACTTAAGGAAATTTCCTGTTTCATTTTTCCACCGTGGTCTGACATTGTCACATTCTTAATCACGTGTTTATTTTCGTGATATACACACACACACACATATATATATATATATATATATATATATATATATATATATATATATATATATATATATATATATATATATATAAGCCTATACTTGCATAAACCACAAGTGAAGATAAACAATCTTTGGACAACACCCACCAGTGGGACTCGAACCCAGAAAGCACAACTACCTTCCAGTAGCTGGCATAACTAGTATGCTTTAACCCACTACGCCATCAGACCTTACAAAAGAAGTAGATAGTTCGAGATATATATATCTCAAACATCTCTACCTCCCGAAGGCACCAGATGAGTGAGGGGTCAATCTGCATTTTTCGTCAAGCCACTGTCAATGTGAGAGAACTCGTGTCCAGCTTATAAGCCTATACTTGCATAAACCACAAGTGAAGATAAACAATCTTTGGACAACACCCACCAGTGGGACTCGAACCCAGAAAGCACAACTACCTTCCAGTAGCTGGCATAACTAGTATGCTTTAACCCACTACGCCATCAGACCTTACAAAAGAAGTAGATAGTTCGAGATATATATATCTCAAACATCTCTACCTCCCGAAGGCACCAGATGAGTGAGGGGTCAATCTGCATTTTTCGTCAAGCCACTGTCAATGTGAGAGAACTCGTGTCCAGCTTATAAGCCTATACTTGCATAAACCACAAGTGAAGATAAACAATCTTTGGACAACACCCACCAGTGGGACTCGAACCCAGAAAGCACAACTACCTTCCAGTAGCTGGCATAACTAGTATGCTTTAACCCACTACGCCATCAGACCTTACAAAAGAAGTAGATAGTTCGAGATATATATATCTCAAACGTCTCTACCTCCCGAAGGCACCAGATGAGTGAGGGGTCAATCTGCATTTTTCGTCAAGCCACTGTCAATGTGAGAGAACTCGTGTCCAGCTTATAAGCCTATACTTGCATAAACCACAAGTGAAGATAAACAATCTTTGGACAACACCCACCAGTGGGACTCGAACCCAGAAAGCACAACTACCTTCCAGTAGCTGGCATAACTAGTATGCTTTAACCCACTACGCCATCAGACCTTACAAAAGAAGTAGATAGTTCGAGATATATATATCTCAAACATCTCTACCTCCCGAAGGCACCAGATGAGTGAGGGGTCAATCTGCATTTTTCGTCAAGCCACTGTCAATGTGAGAGAACTCGTGTCCAGCTTATAAGCCTATACTTGCATAAACCACAAGTGAAGATAAACAATCTTTGGACAACACCCACCAGTGGGACTCGAACCCAGAAAGCACAACTACCTTCCAGTAGCTGGCATAACTAGTATGCTTTAACCCACTACGCCATCAGACCTTACAAAAGAAGTAGATAGTTCGAGATATATATATCTCAAACATCTCTACCTCCCGAAGGCACCAGATGAGTGAGGGGTCAATCTGCATTTTTCGTCAAGCCACTGTCAATGTGAGAGAACTCGTGTCCAGCTTATAAGCCTATACTTGCATAAACCACAAGTGAAGATAAACAATCTTTGGACAACACCCACCAGTGGGACTCGAACCCAGAAAGCACAACTACCTTCCAGTAGCTGGCATAACTAGTATGCTTTAACCCACTACGCCATCAGACCTTACAAAAGAAGTAGATAGTTCGAGATATATATATCTCAAACATCTCTACCTCCCGAAGGCACCAGATGAGTGAGGGGTCAATCTGCATTTTTCGTCAAGCCACTGTCAATGTGAGAGAACTCGTGTCCAGCTTATAAGCCTATACTTGCATAAACCACAAGTGAAGATAAACAATCTTTGGACAACACCCACCAGTGGGACTCGAACCCAGAAAGCACAACTACCTTCCAGTAGCTGGCATAACTAGTATGCTTTAACCCACTACGCCATCAGACCTTACAAAAGAAGTAGATAGTTCGAGATATATATATCTCAAACATCTCTACCTCCCGAAGGCACCAGATGAGTGAGGGGTCAATCTGCATTTTTCGTCAAGCCACTGTCAATGTGAGAGAACTCGTGTCCAGCTTATAAGCCTATACTTGCATAAACCACAAGTGAAGATAAACAATCTTTGGACAACACCCACCAGTGGGACTCGAACCCAGAAAGCACAACTACCTTCCAGTAGCTGGCATAACTAGTATGCTTTAACCCACTACGCCATCAGACCTTACAAAAGAAGTAGATAGTTCGAGATATATATATCTCAAACATCTCTACCTCCCGAAGGCACCAGATGAGTGAGGGGTCAATCTGCATTTTTCGTCAAGCCACTGTCAATGTGAGAGAACTCGTGTCCAGCTTATAAGCCTATACTTGCATAAACCACAAGTGAAGATAAACAATCTTTGGACAACACCCACCAGTGGGACTCGAACCCAGAAAGCACAACTACCTTCCAATAGCTGGCATAACTAGTATGCTTTAACCCTTTTAACCCACTTTAACCTCACTCATCTGGTGCCTTCGGGAGGTAGAGATGTTTGAGATATATATATCTCGAACTATCTACTTCTTTTGTAAGGTCTGATGGCGTAGTGGGTTAAAGCATACTAGTTATGCCAGCTACTGGAAGGTAGTTGTGCTTTCTGGGTTCGAGTCCCACTGGTGGGTGTTGTCCAAAGATTGTTTATCTTCACTTGTGGTTTATGCAAGTATAGGCTTATAAGCTGGACACGAGTTCTCTCACATTGACAGTGGCTTGACGAAAAATGCAGATTGACCCCTCACTCATCTGGTGCCTTCGGGAGGTAGAGATGTTTGAGATATATATCTCGAACTATCTACTTCTTTTGTAAGGTCTGATGGCGTAGTGGGTTAAAGCATACTAGTTATGCCAGCTACTGGAAGGTAGTTGTGCTTTCTGGGTTCGAGTCCCACTGGTGGGTGTTGTCCAAAGATTGTTTATCTTCACTTGTGGTTTATGCAAGTATAGGCTTATAAGCTGGACACGAGTTCTCTCACATTGACAGTGGCTTGACGAAAAATGCAGATTGACCCCTCACTCATCTGGTGCCTTCGGGAGGTAGAGATGTTTGAGATATATATATCTCGAACTATCTACTTCTTTTGTAAGGTCTGATGGCGTAGTGGGTTAAAGCATACTAGTTATGCCAGCTACTGGAAGGTAGTTGTGCTTTCTGGGTTCGAGTCCCACTGGTGGGTGTTGTCCAAAGATTGTTTATCTTCACTTGTGGTTTATGCAAGTATAGGCTTATAAGCTGGACACGAGTTCTCTCACATTGACAGTGGCTTGACGAAAAATGCAGATTGACCCCTCACTCATCTGGTGCCTTCGGGAGGTAGAGATGTTTGAGATATATATATCTCGAACTATCTACTTCTTTTGTAAGGTCTGATGGCGTAGTGGGTTAAAGCATACTAGTTATGCCAGCTACTGGAAGGTAGTTGTGCTTTCTGGGTTCGAGTCCCACTGGTGGGTGTTGTCCAAAGATTGTTTATCTTCACTTGTGGTTTATGCAAGTATAGGCTTATAAGCTGGACACGAGTTCTCTCACATTGACAGTGGCTTGACGAAAAATGCAGATTGACCCCTCACTCATCTGGTGCCTTCGGGAGGTAGAGATGTTTGAGATATATATATCTCGAACTATCTACTTCTTTTGTAAGGTCTGATGGCGTAGTGGGTTAAAGCATACTAGTTATGCCAGCTACTGGAAGGTAGTTGTGCTTTCTGGGTTCGAGTCCCACTGGTGGGTGTTGTCCAAAGATTGTTTATCTTCACTTGTGGTTTATGCAAGTATAGGCTTATAAGCTGGACACGAGTTCTCTCACATTGACAGTGGCTTGACGAAAAATGCAGATTGACCCCTCACTCATCTGGTGCCTTCGGGAGGTAGAGATGTTTGAGATATATATATCTCGAACTATCTACTTCTTTTGTAAGGTCTGATGGCGTAGTGGGTTAAAGCATACTAGTTATGCCAGCTACTGGAAGGTAGTTGTGCTTTCTGGGTTCGAGTCCCACTGGTGGGTGTTGTCCAAAGATTGTTTATCTTCACTTGTGGTTTATGCAAGTATAGGCTTATAAGCTGGACACGAGTTCTCTCACATTGACAGTGGCTTGACGAAAAATGCAGATTGACCCCTCACTCATCTGGTGCCTTCGGGAGGTAGAGATGTTTGAGATATATATATCTCGAACTATCTACTTCTTTTGTAAGGTCTGATGGCGTAGTGGGTTAAAGCATACTAGTTATGCCAGCTACTGGAAGGTAGTTGTGCTTTCTGGGTTCGAGTCCCACTGGTGGGTGTTGTCCAAAGATTGTTTATCTTCACTTGTGGTTTATGCAAGTATAGGCTTATAAGCTGGACACGAGTTCTCTCACATTGACAGTGGCTTGACGAAAAATGCAGATTGACCCCTCACTCATCTGGTGCCTTCGGGAGGTAGAGATGTTTGAGATATATATATCTCGAACTATCTACTTCTTTTGTAAGGTCTGATGGCGTAGTGGGTTAAAGCATACTAGTTATGCCAGCTACTGGAAGGTAGTTGTGCTTTCTGGGTTCGAGTCCCACTGGTGGGTGTTGTCCAAAGATTGTTTATCTTCACTTGTGGTTTATGCAAGTATAGGCTTATAAGCTGGACACGAGTTCTCTCACATTGACAGTGGCTTGACGAAAAATGCAGATTGACCCCTCACTCATCTGGTGCCTTCGGGAGGTAGAGATGTTTGAGATATATATATCTCGAACTATCTACTTCTTTTGTAAGGTCTGATGGCGTAGTGGGTTAAAGCATACTAGTTATGCCAGCTACTGGAAGGTAGTTGTGCTTTCTGGGTTCGAGTCCCACTGGTGGGTGTTGTCCAAAGATTGTTTATCTTCACTTGTGGTTTATGCAAGTATAGGCTTATAAGCTGGACACGAGTTCTCTCACATTGACAGTGGCTTGACGAAAAATGCAGATTGACCCCTCACTCATCTGGTGCCTTCGGGAGGTAGAGATGTTTGAGATATATATATCTCGAACTATCTACTTCTTTTGTAAGGTCTGATGGCGTAGTGGGTTAAAGCATACTAGTTATGCCAGCTACTGGAAGGTAGTTGTGCTTTCTGGGTTCGAGTCCCACTGGTGGGTGTTGTCCAAAGATTGTTTATCTTCACTTGTGGTTTATGCAAGTATAGGCTTATAAGCTGGACACGAGTTCTCTCACATTGACAGTGGCTTGACGAAAAATGCAGATTGACCCCTCACTCATCTGGTGCCTTCGGGAGGTAGAGATGTTTGAGATATATATATCTCGAACTATCTACTTCTTTTGTAAGGTCTGATGGCGTAGTGGGTTAAAGCATACTAGTTATGCCAGCTACTGGAAGGTAGTTGTGCTTTCTGGGTTCGAGTCCCACTGGTGGGTGTTGTCCAAAGATTGTTTATCTTCACTTGTGGTTTATGCAAGTATAGGCTTATAAGCTGGACACGAGTTCTCTCACATTGACAGTGGCTTGACGAAAAATGCAGATTGACCCCTCACTCATCTGGTGCCTTCGGGAGGTAGAGATGTTTGAGATATATATATCTCGAACTATCTACTTCTTTTGTAAGGTCTGATGGCGTAGTGGGTTAAAGCATACTAGTTATGCCAGCTACTGGAAGGTAGTTGTGCTTTCTGGGTTCGAGTCCCACTGGTGGGTGTTGTCCAAAGATTGTTTATCTTCACTTGTGGTTTATGCAAGTATAGGCTTATAAGCTGGACACGAGTTCTCTCACATTGACAGTGGCTTGACGAAAAATGCAGATTGACCCCTCACTCATCTGGTGCCTTCGGGAGGTAGAGATGTTTGAGATATATATATCTCGAACTATCTACTTCTTTTGTAAGGTCTGATGGCGTAGTGGGTTAAAGCATACTAGTTATGCCAGCTACTGGAAGGTAGTTGTGCTTTCTGGGTTCGAGTCCCACTGGTGGGTGTTGTCCAAAGATTGTTTATCTTCACTTGTGGTTTATGCAAGTATAGGCTTATAAGCTGGACACGAGTTCTCTCACATTGACAGTGGCTTGACGAAAAATGCAGATTGACCCCTCACTCATCTGGTGCCTTCGGGAGGTAGAGATGTTTGAGATATATATATCTCGAACTATCTACTTCTTTTGTAAGGTCTGATGGCGTAGTGGGTTAAAGCATACTAGTTATGCCAGCTACTGGAAGGTAGTTGTGCTTTCTGGGTTCGAGTCCCACTGGTGGGTGTTGTCCAAAGATTGTTTATCTTCACTTGTGGTTTATGCAAGTATAGGCTTATAAGCTGGACACGAGTTCTCTCACATTGACAGTGGCTTGACGAAAAATGCAGATTGACCCCTCACTCATCTGGTGCCTTCGGGAGGTAGAGATGTTTGAGATATATATATCTCGAACTATCTACTTCTTTTGTAAGGTCTGATGGCGTAGTGGGTTAAAGCATACTAGTTATGCCAGCTACTGGAAGGTAGTTGTGCTTTCTGGGTTCGAGTCCCACTGGTGGGTGTTGTCCAAAGATTGTTTATATATATATATATATATATATATATATATATATATATATATATATATATATATATATATATATAAAATAATACTCTGTATATTATAAAAATAGTATGACTTCTCATCATTTGCTATATAATACAATTCAGCCAAAGATAATATGGAAGGGAACTATCAGGAGAAAGCGCAAAGTCATTAGGATTATATAGCACTGGGAAGGGGTCAGGATAAGGAATTGGGGATGGGACGGGGAGGAGGAGGGGGGAGGGGGAAAGGAATGGTGCCTAATCACTTGGACCGTCGGGGATTGAACCCGGACCTGCATGCAGGGAGATCGTCGCTGTACCGTCCAGCCCAAGTGGTTGAGGATAATATGGAGGTTAAATGTAATTTTTGCTGACATACAACTCCACAAACACGTACATACAATATTAATAAACACGTACATAAAATATATTATAAATAAACACACACACACACACACACACACACACACACACACACACACACACACACACACACACACACACACACACACACACACACACACATCACAGAGCCTTGCGGTCGAATGGACAGCGCTCATGGGTAGTAGTCCTAGAGCCCGGGTTCGATTCCCGGGCGAGGCAGAGACAAATGGGCAGGAGTTTCTCTCACTTGATACCCCTGTTCACCTAGCAGTAAATAGGGACCTGGGTGTTAGACAGCTACTACGGTATACATATTGGGAATGTGTATGTGAGAAATATAGATTTGTGTTTTTGTTTTTTTTGCAGAGATATTCCTGCGCGGGCCCTAAGCCTCTGGCTGGCCCACTAAGTGTTGCTTGTTTCTGTTTTACTTGGGCGGAGTATGAGTATTTATGACTCGTATGGTCGCTTCAGTAAGATTTTGCCCCACGTGTTTAACAATTTCTTCTGCTCTGTTAAATCTAAATTGAAATCTTAATGGGTCTGTAACTGTGCACTGTGTTAGATAATGTTTCAGTGGTCTGTCGGGCATTTCTTCACAGTGCTGACATTTCCTCTTATCTTCCGGAACCTGTAAGCCTATTTCCCCATGGGTATCCAAGTCTGATGCGATGTAAGTGTACTTCTGTTGTTCTACTGCTCCCTTTCATCAAACTAAGTGGTTCGTAGTTGGTTGAATTCTTGTACCAACCCGCAGATCCTGATGTTGCAACTGCTGTGTTGTGGTCACTGTACATCTTTTGCATTGCTCTGTTTCTAATTACTTCCTTAATCTGTGATAAACTCTGTGGTATGTAAATGTCCACATTTCTTCTCCTAGTTGCAAATTTTGCAGCTTCGTCTGCAATGTCATTTCCTATTATTCCCACATGACTTGGCACCCAGTTGATAGGTACCCGTCGGGCTTGTCGTTTGAGTGTTTGCATTAATGATATGAAATTTGTGATCAGATGGATGTTATCACATATGTGTTTTTGTTGCAAGGTTTCAACGGCAGTTCTCGAAACTGTATGTATGATAACATGTTGTCGGTGCTCAGCAAGAGCATGTTCCAAAGCCTTTTGAATAGCTAGCATCTCTGTTTGTAAAGTCGAACACCCATTTGAGAGTCTCCAACTATTTACAGCGTTTCCTGCTTTAACTACAGCTCCGGTTTCTTGTCCCTGCTGGTCTACTGATCCATCTGTGAGAAATGTTAAGCTGTCAGATGCCAAGTTTGCTTCTATATGCATCTGTGCAATATTATATACAAGACAGAGTAAAATAGGTCCGAATATTAGACAGCCAATGATTAGAAAAGCGGGGTCCAAGAGCTAACTATTCCATCCCGCAGGCACAAAAAGTATATACAAACAGTAAACACACACACACACACACACACACACACACACACACACACACACACACACACACACACACACACACACACACACACACACACACACACACACACATACACACATAACAAGAAAAACGAGTGAAAAGAGTCGAATTGTCCAATTGAGTTGCACAACTCGATTGGAGATCGACTCAGTCATACGTATACATGAGGTACTTACAGTGTGTATGAGGTACTCACAGTGTGTGTGAGGTACTCATAGTGTGTGTGAGGTACTCACAGTGTGTGTGAGGTACTCACAGTGTGTGTCAGTTACTCACAGTGTGTGTGAGGTACTCACAGTGTGTGTGAGGTACTCACAGTGTGTGTCAGGTACTCACAGTGTGTGTCAGGTACGCACAGTGTGTGTCAGGTACTCACAGTGTGTGCGAGGTACTCACATTGTGTGTCAGTTACTCACAGTGTGTGAAGGGAGGTGTAGAGGCTGAAGGTGTGGTCACGAAGCTCCGTTATCTCGTTGTATCTCAGGTCCCTGTTAATGGAAAGGTGATTTGAATGTATAATTTATTTACCTATTGTATAATCTAATGATGCAACATATTACAGTCGAAAAGCTATATATAGTATGCAGCTTCTGAGATATATATATATATATAAATATATATACGTCAAATTTTAATGGTCCCCCCCAAGCCAACATGCATCAGTAAACTCTTGACCCCATGAAGGATTCGAACCCGATCAGCTAGGGCCTAATATACCCCCTTGACATGTCGAGTATTATAACCAGTCAGCCACAGACTATACAAAAGGATTGAGAAGCCGTCAGACTTTTAATCCCTAACTCCCCACAAGACTTTTCTTGGCTTGCCTTGGAGATCATTCAGGCTTGACCCACAATTGATGCTCATGCGGCCCCAATATGTTGAAGCGATTTGATGAAATATGTGTCCAATAAAGTCCCGAGCACAGTCGGGTGGCATTGCTTTTCGACCATGTCGTGGTGCAGTGGTCTAGGGCGTGTGCTTGGGGGTACCCAGTATGCGCAGGTTCGAATCCTCCTCATGGCTCCTATTGATTTTCTCATTGATACATCACGTTAGAGTGTATTCATTGTGCTTAATCACTCCCAACTTTACCACCACCACTACTACTAACACCATCACCACCATCACTATCATCAACAGCATTTCTACCACTACAGCATCACAATCACCATTACCACTATCAGTATAACCACCACTATCACCAGTACTACCACCATTACCAGTAATAATGGTAATCACCACCAGGGGAGCCTGATTGTGCGTCAGTTTGTCTGCCAATTAACAAGCGGACTTGTTAACACTGCTAATGACCAACTGGCAATTAGTGTTTGGCCTCAGTTTTACTAACCGGGGTGAGGAGTGCCGACTTGGTTATGTCTTGAGATTTAGTGGCACTCTAGGAGAAAAATTCTCAAAGATTACTCTCAAGACTCAAGAGTTAAAAACTATAGTTACACGTCTTCGTAATATTGTCTCCAATAACAGTAATATATATTGATAATATATTGGAGTACCACATCAGCTTACAGTGCTACAGAGACCTGGTGGTACAGTACCACGTCCCGTTACTGTGCTACAGTGACCTGGTGGTACAGTACCACGTCCCGTTACTGTGCTACAGTGACCTGTTGGTACAGTACCACGTCCCGTTACTGTGCTACAGTGACCTGGTGGTACAGTACCACGTCCCGTTACTGTGCTACAGTGACCTGGTGGTACAGTACCACGTCCCGTTACTGTGCTACAGTGACCTGGTGGTACAGTACCACGTCCCGTTACTGTGCTACAGTGACCTGGTGGTACAGTACCACGTCCCGTTACTGTGCTACAGTGACCTGGTGGTACAGTACCACGTCCCGTTACTGTGCTACAGTGACCTGTTGGTACAGTACCACGTCCCTTTACTGTGCTACAGTGACCTGGTGGTACAGTACCACGTCCCGTTACTGTGCTACAGTGACTGGTGGTACAGTACCACTTTACTGTGCTACAGTGACCTGGTGGTACAGTACCACGTCCCGTTACTGTGCTACAGTGACCTGGTGGTACAGTACCACGTCCCGTTACTGTGCTACAGTGACCTGTTGGTACAGTACCACGTCCCTTTACTGTGCTACAGTGACCTGGTGGTACAGTACCACGTCCCGTTACTGTGCTACAGTGACCTGTTGGTACAGTACCACGTCCCTTTACTGTTCTACAGAGACCTGCTGGTACAGTACCACGTCCTGTTACTGTGCTACAGAGACCTGGTGGTACAGTACCACATCCCGTTACTGTGCTACAGTGACCTGGTGGTACAGTACCACATCCCCTTACTGTGTTACATAAGTCTACGGGGCGAGGCTTCAGACCTTCCTCACTATCCCGTCAGCTTCGCCGGGATAGTGAGGAAAGAGGGGGAAGGCAATAGTGAGTCACCGCCACCATTACTCCCCGTCTCACCATCGCTAATTTTCAGGCCGCCAAACACACCATCAGTCTTCATGACTGAGGAGCGTCGCCACAATTCTTGTCAGAATTTTGCTTGTTAGCGTCGCCCGGAATGTGGCTGCATAAAAGTCCTGAACTGTTTAAAAATGCTGTAGCGAATGGTCCATTGCTTAGCTCCTTCCAGCATGTTATATATATACCAAGTGAGCCCTGGTAAAATAAATAATATTTGATTCACTTGAAGCAAGGTAGGAAGCAATATCCTATCTATGGATAGGATGGAGAGTCACCGATTTATATAAGTTGCCTATTTATAGAGTCATAGTCACCTATCCATAGGTGACTATGGATAGGATAGAGAGGTGGTGTAGAGGTTCGGCACTCTATGTGTAATAAAGAAATTCCTGTGACGAATTATCAAGATTTTACATGAAGATTAAAGCCATTTTTTTTATTTGGTAGAGGAGCCATATTTATTTTCTCATTACATCTCTAAAGGCATAAATGGTGGAAACTTTAGGCTAACAGTCTTGAGTAGAATATAACCCGATGAACAAAAGTACAGAGGCATAAAGGAAACAACAGAAGGCCTATGCGAGGCTGCTCCTGTTGGCCCGTATGAGGCTGCTCCGGTTGGTCGATGCTAGGTAGCACCTGTTGGCCCATATGAGGCAGCTTCTGTTGGCCTATATGAGGCTGCTCCTGTTAGCCCTTATGAGGCTGCTCCTGTTGGCCCTTATGAGGCTGCTCCTGTTGGCCCTTATGAGGCCGCTCTTATTTATACCCAATCATGTTGTATAAGGAAAAAAAATTGTTTGATTTCCAGCCGAGAAATATTAGTACTTTTCATACCTTAACCCACACACATGACAATACATGAATTGGTCAACGTCTCCTACCTAGTGGGACCGAAAATTGCCACATTTATTCTTTAGTCATATATGTGTGGGCTGGGTTGTGTGGGCTCGGCTATTGTGGCTTGCTCTCTGCATTAGGAGTTGTGTCCATCACTCTGGTCTGATGTTTCGTGTTATTCCTCAAATTATTCCGACATGTCCGGTATAGAAATGTAGGAAGAGTATGGCCGCTGCTCCAGGTCAGAATGTTAATTAAGAGAGGCAAACTAGAGTAAAGTTCATGTAAACACGAAATGCTATGTTGACAGCCGACTCGTTCACTGTACATTGTTCCAAACTGAAAAGCTTCGTTCACGCCACATTGTTCCAAACTGAAACAGTTCGTCCATCAAACATTGTTTCAAACTAAAGTTCTTCGTTCACTTCACAATGGGATTATTTACCCAACGGGTAATGTTCTTGGGAGACAAGAGTATTCCCGGAGAATAGGATCTAATCCTGCTAAGTGTTCTTAGTCATACTCTTTATAATATATTAATTAGTAGTAGTAGTAGGCATCCATCAGTCTCAGGAGACTATGGAGTTGCGCTCTGGTGTCGGTCTGGTCTGGAGTGGCCTCACCAGGGCGCAAAGCCCTGGCGAGGTACAGTTAATTAATATATTAATTATCGCTCTGTTAAATGCTGTACCTAGAAATTCAACAGCTGCTTCAGTGTCCCTGCTGTTGATGTCACGGCACACACCACTGGGAAGGTTAACCACCAGAAAATCCTCAACTATGAACTGAGACATGATAGAACCTAAAGATAAATATGAATTGACACCCACCTACAACAGGGAGGCGCTATTTGTAAGATGAAACTGTACGATGGATCTAAGAGTCGTTAATATGAAGGGAGGCTATTGATCGCTGAAGGATAGACAGATTCAGCACCGCTCCTGTGCCAGGGGAGTCCACTACGGGCTCACCATAGCCCGTGCTACTTGGAACTTGTTCCAAGCAGCTGAATCTATATCAACAACAGCAGCTGAAGGATATGGCAGGACATCACCCCAGGTATGGAGCGCGTGTCAGTATGACTCAAATTGCATCATCAATCGTGCCTATATTAGGTCCTTGAATATCGTTGCAACCCTCCTTGCTCTAAGGCCTGACACAAGGCTTTAATAATACAAAGTGAAGCTGTGAGGGACATTCTCTCATGTCCCTTTATCACGAAGATGCATAAGAGAGAAAAATTTAATATTCCAAGCGTCATAATTCATGTCACTTAATGTTTACATTTTTTATCAAAATGTTCTTTGTCGAGTGCTATCATCCTCCAAAAGAAAAGTAGTAATCGGAAACTGGTTAAATATTATATAATTTGCACACTTTAAAAAAAGAGAAAAAACAAGGGAACTTTGCTACCCTTTGCAAGTTCATTCTTTTAACTAGTTACTATTTTTCTTTTTAACCCTAAACAGAAAGTTGAAAAGCAACTCAAGTCTCAACCAGAAGCCAAGAGAAGCCCTTGGAACCTAAGAACATACAAATAAAGAAAACTACTGAAAGGCCTATTTATTATTAATATTATTATTTTCTACCACAGACGTGGCCACATTTACAATGTGGTACAATCAGTGTTTGTCACTGATTGTACCTGGATTGTACCTGGATGGGGTTCTGGGAGTTCTTCTACTCCCTCACGCCCGGCCCGAGGTCAGACTTTACTTGTGAGAGCTTGGTCCACCAGGCTGTTGCTTGGAGCGGCCCGCGAGCCCACATATCCTCCACAGCCCGGTTGGTCCGGCACTTCTTGAGGAAAACAATCTCGTTTTCTCTTGAAGATGTCCACGGTTGTTCCGACAATATTTCTTATGCTCGCTGGGAGGCTGTTAAACAACTGTGGACCTCTGATGTTTATACAGTGTTCTCTGATTGTGCCTATGGCACCCCCTGCTCTTCATTGGTTCTATTCTGCATTTTCTTCCATATCGTTCACTCCAATATGTTGTTATTTTAGTGTGTAGATTTGGGACCTGGCCCTCCAGTATTTTCCACGTGTATATTATTTGATATCTCTCTCGTATCCTTTCTAGTGAATACATTAGGAGAGCTTTGAGACGATCCCAATAGTTTAGGTGTTTTATCGTGTCTATGGATAATGTACATGTTCTCTGTATTCCCTCTATTTCAGCAGCCTCTCCTACTCTGAAGGGGTAAGTGAGTATTGAGCAGTACTCAAGACGGGACAGCACATGGTGCAGTAGGCATCCATCAGTCTCAGAAGACTATGAATTTGCGCTCTGGTTGTTGGTCTGGAGTGGCCTCTCCAGGGCACAAAGCCAAGGTAGGTTGATACGGGGAAGAAGCTGTCACCCATGCACCAGGTCCCCTTCTTCACGGCGCCGAAAGTCTCCAATGGAAAGGCAAACTCCAACACGATTGGTTCCAGCGCCGTCGCAGGAACTGTCAGAACGAGGTTGAAGGCAACAACGAACTGCCCTAAGGACTCCAGTACCGGAGGTTACCTCGAGGTTGGTAAAAGAAGAAACAGGGACTCCAAACACAGAGACAAGTGATTTGAAGAGTACAACCATTGTGATCGGATTCCTGGATTTGAAGGTTCTCGTAATCCATCCTATCATTTTTCTGGCTGACGCAATATTTACTTGGTTATGCTCCCTAAACGTTAGGTCGTTAGACATCATTATTCCACAGATCCTTTTCGTGTTGCTTTCCTACTATAGGCAGATTTGAATGTGCTTTTTACCCTGTATTTATCAGATGATATCAGATGATATCAGACATACCAAAGTTTCCAGCTTAATACAAAATTCTGTTTTACCTCTTTCAACCTTCAAATTATCCAAAAATATTTTTAAATTATAATTACTACACAACGTGAGCTGTCACGTCTTCTTGAATACTTTAATAGTGAAATGTATACATTAGTCATCTAAAGCTTTTGTCTATTCATTAGATATATTAAAAACGTCTCCCACCCATATGCTAGAGTGTGTCATAGAGGAGTGTGTAGCCAAGTTACTCACATTTTGACGATCGTTGCCGGGTCGAGGCCGCCGAGGGCTGGAAGGTCAGGCGGGTCCGTCAGCCTGATGCCATGACACTTGAGGGACACGAGGCCAGTAGTCTGGTCGACACGTTTTTCCTTGAATTTTGACCATGGACACCGACGGGATGTTAGGGGTCTCGCAGGCTCGCAGGTGCAGTCGGAGGGGCAGGCGGAGACAATGGTCGACGACAGCAGCAACAGCATGCAGCAAAGCGACCACAACAGGGGCAGCAAAGTGCCCCTACCGTCCCCTGCATGCCCTCCAGCGTCACCACAGTCCCTCATCGTCCGCCCAGGAGTGACCGGCGAGAGGGCTGGGATTTATGGGAGTGTCACTCGGTTTAGGAGTGAGGGGTAAGCGAGGTCTGGGCGGCCCTTGGGAGGTGCCATGAAGAGGTCCAACGGGCGTCATGTGGGCGTGTTGGCGTCGTCAGGGAGTACAGGTGGGCGCGCCAGCTCGCATGGCTCCACACCTCGTCCTGGAATGGAAAAGCCAGAGGTGAGAGACCGTTGTTGTAATAGATCCAGCTACTCGGAACAAGTTCCAAGTAGCACGGGCTTTGGTGAGCCCGTAACTTACCTGGCACAGGAGCGGGTCGGTGAGAGACCGTGAAAGAGTACATATATATGCAGCAATATGCACTACTCTATCACCTACGTCGACTACCTTGTGTCTGCTCAGATATACTTTTTCAGAACCTGTTAAATGTATTACTATTATACAACAAAATGTAAAATTAAAATTACTTAGCGCATACTTAATTGATTAATGAGATAATAAAAGGAATTCCATGTCTGATGAACACATTCCTACTGGCTGCTCCGAAAACTTCACATAATACAATATATTATCTTATATAACTAATTTATATGGAAGAACTAATGCAAAGTTACGTGTTTCTTTTGCAAGTATTTATAATTACTCAGCATATCTTTTTAAAATCCTATGTCCACTGCATAAGAAATATTTCCACTGCATAAGTCACAGCCACGGCGGTGGTTGTGACTTTATATATATATATATATATATATATATATATATATATATATATATATATATATATATATATATATATATATATATATATGACAGTGTCAGATCACGGAGGAAGAATTGAAACAGGAATTTTCTTAAGTACTTTCGTATTTTATAATATATCTTCAGAAGGGTGAGTTTATACCCCTCAGACCACGGAGGTCTGACAGTGTCAGACCTCCGTAATCTGACACTGTAACATTTTTCATCACATCAATTTTCGTGATTTACACACACACACACACACACACACACACACACACACACACACACACACACACACACACACACACACACACACACACACATAAATATATATATATATGCACACATGCTTCACACCAAGACAGGGACTGGGGTGCTGGGGCTGGAGGAGTAGTGTAGTGTGGGGGGGGGGGACGCTACTGTGGTGATGGTGATGTACGAGGGGACGCCCTACCTCTTCCTGGCCTCCATTTATCACAATTTATACTTCATTATGTGACCAAGTTTCCCCTCACTTGCTGACCAAGTTCCCATTTCGTGGTAATAACTTTTAATCAATTCTCGCCGTGTCGTAGTATTCTAGGCTAAAGTTCACTCAAAATATTACAAGAATATCTATATAATTTGTCTATAACCTTTTTTTCTTTGTTTCAAACATTTGTAGTTGATTTAGATTACTATTTAAAGTAAACTTTTTTCTTATGTGATCTAAATAATGTGATATATGTGCTTCCGTTTATTATGTCTGGACTAGATTTATTTGCGTTTAGTAAATAAAATCGAGGCAATTGGATTTATTTCATTCATATATAAACAAGATAACCCACTTAACTCACTGCTAATTAATCTTAGGAAGCGAAGTCTTTTACGCTGTGATCGAAAGCGAAAATAATGTTGTGCATAAAGTTATGTTTACAGGCTGGACGGTGTAAGTATATACAAATATATTCAGTAATCATTGTAATCTGATGTCTGCCTCAGACTGAGTACAGTTAATATTGAACAAAAATACAGTTGCATGAAGATTTCAACAGACATATTTAAAAGTGTTTCCCACATACTTTACTTATACTTAACACCTCATTTCATTAAAATATTTGTGTCATTTTATCGCATTTCTCTCATAATATCAAATAACGCCTCCTCATGCAGGCGATGAGTCACAATAACGTGGCTACAGTATGTTGACCAGACTACACGCAAGAAGGTGAAGGGACGACGACGTTTCGGTCCGTCCTGGACCATTCTCAAGTCGATTGAAACGTCGTCGTCCCTTCACCTTCTAGTGTGTGGTCTGGTCAACGCCTCCTCATGTTATAATCATACTCCTAGTTATATCATCATGCTCCCCCTCCAGATATCATACTCCCTTCCTGTTATCATATTTCTCCTATACTTAATTAATCATATTTTACACTCGTCCTCACATCATCATAATCTTCTCATATCATTATACTCCAATCCTCATATTGTCATATGACAATATGCTAACGAACCGTTTACTAAAAATAAAATAAATATAAAGGTTTGTGGCTGGTATAATTAAAATAAGCGTATATTTGAACTATACCAGTATATTTTAACTAACGTATTTTTGAAAAAAAAAAAATATTACTTGTATATTTAGTCCGCAAGTATATTATATTGGTGCTTTGCGAGCGATTATATATTATGTGCAATTTGCACAATCATTAATTAAAATTTTATTTCTAAAATTTATTTAATGACTATTGCATATATTACAAAAATATTATGAAAATAAAAATAAATATATTGAGCCATTAGCTCCCTTTGCTATCACAATTTTTGCAAATAAAATATGCAATTGCATTGTGATGGATGAATCATGAAACTTAACATACGCTATTACTTGTGATAATTATATTGGATCTATTTCACTTAACTATTTTTGTCTCTTAACGCAGACGAAAACAGTGATTGATATGCTGATGCTGTCCTGACAAGTGACAGATGCTGAAGTGATTGAGTGATTGACATGCTGAAGCAATTGTTTCACGTTCCCTGTGTCAACCACTGGCCCAAGAAATGTTCATGTTTATCACTCAGAATATTCGGTAATATGCTTATTGTTGTGATGTGTGTCTATATATATATATATATATATATATATATATATATATATATATATATATATATATATATATATATATAACTGAAAACTCACACCCCAGTTGCATATTGTCCTGGGGACCATTCAGGCTTGTTCGCATATATATATATATATATATATATATATATATATATATATATATATATATATATATATATATATATATATATATATATAAACTTGTTTCAATTTAAACTGGAGCTGCAAGGGGCTCTTGCAGCTCCACCGAGGACCGTTAATCACTTACAATTCCTGGAGGGTGGAAAAAGGAGCTCACTAAGACGACTCTAGTCCCTAATTATACCTCAGGGCGTCATACTCGGTACTGCAAAAGGGGTATAAAACTCACTCACCCAGTACCCACTGGATAAGACTCTCGACTCCACACACACACACACACAGCGCCCGGTGCAGTTGACGTATAACTGGGGAGGCTAGGATACCCAGAACTCTGGTAAACTCACTCAGGCCTTCAGGTGTCCTCACACGTCGGTAGCACCACTGTGGGTATACAGTTCCCTGGAATTTCTCTTGGCCATTGTCCAGTATACACACACTTCCTCCAAGGTGATTGCTGGCTGGAGATGTATGCTGCAGCTCCTAGCCTCTCCCACACACATACAGGTCCCACAGTACATATCCGTTATTAAGATTCAGATCTTACCTTATAATGATCTTAACTTATAAAAAGATCAACACTTAGAATGATATAAGTGTTGCTCATCATCAGCAAATAAAATAACAGAGGTGGCGACACAAGTACAGTATATAAAAATGACATTATGAAAAAATAAATATAATTCCATAACTGCATTAGCCTCATAAAAATTACAAACTGGCTGGTCACAGCCTCTTTAAAATCAAAAGTATACTTTCCTGTATGCCCTCTCCAGAGTGTCTCTAAATTAACTAAAAATTACCACTAAGCAAAAAAATGAGGCTATCTTGGGTAATTCTATTTTCACGCTACCTGTATTCTCACCCAGCAGGTAATAGCACAAACCGAAATCTCTAGCCGTCAATAGGTTCAGAGGGAAAAAATATAATTACGGCAGCAGAGTTAGAGGATATGCAACCACGGAAATAGAGCATTTATGTAGGCTAGGCAAGTTTCAGAGCGAAAGAAATGGACCTGTGAAAATTATTTTTACGAACAGCAACCCAATCATGTATACATTGGTATCGAAGAGATATTTGATGGATGAGAAAAATTGCCATGTTTATTAGACAGGACATGTATAAGGAGGAAAGGGAGGCAGCCAAGAGAAACTGAGAAGAAAACCAAATGAGAAATGCAAGGAAACCAAAAAATGGCACAAACAGGGCACAGGATTAAGCAAATCTGGCAACAAAGGAATAGAGAACTAGGAAATAGTAGGACAGACCAGCTTAACGACACAACAGAGTGCTACAGAGGTAGATAGTGCTGCTCAGCCTAATGGAACATCAACACGGTGCATATACAAGAGTGACTGGTACACCATACCACCTCTACCCTTATCAGTAACAGAAATGCAGCCAGATGATCAAATACCTCTTGAGGAAAATGAAAGCAGCCCAACTGTCATGATTAGCATAAAAGTAATGTACAAAAATGCAGATGGCCTTGCAAATAAAGCAATAGATTTACAAGAGAGTGGCAGAAGTGGAACTACACATGATCTATCATGTGTGGTTCACCCATACATTATATATGTGTGTGTGTATAATGTATGGGTGAACCACACACACATTATACATGTGTGTGTATGGTCTGTCCGTCCATCTGACTTCTGCACCATCTTTTTCTGTCGTTGAATGCAGCCAGACTCTTCCAAACAGTGACGTGATCAAGTGGGTTCCGTGGCATATCTCTGAGCGTCAGATAAAACTGCTGTCCTAGCCCCCAAACAATATGGGGTTTCGTTGAATTGAAAGCTATAAAAGGGTCCTTTTATATCTGAATGAGTCATTGGCTCATTCTTTTGATACGGACCCGAGGCACGTTTGAGGACCCCGAACAGCCATTAGCAGACGTGGACTTGCACCAATAAAATTCTTGGGTTCTGCACTCAACGACTTTTATAACGAGTCGTGAACTCACTTCTCCATTGACCCTTATTCACTCTCCCCGACTCCCTAGTGTAACTCTTACCTCTCCCTACTCCCCTATTCTGCGCTTTATCCACATCTTTTACTATTTGTGTTTCTCTCCTCCCATCATCATCACCTTCTGCATCATCTTCCTTCGTGTTATCATATTCAACTTAATCGATTCCTACGATTCCTACTACACTTTTTACTTGAGACCGCTATCATATGTCTTTAGACTGCAAGTAACTATCTCC